TAATGGACACATTTGGAAAAGCATTCCCTGACCCAATAACCCAGGTGCAGTTCATAATATTTTCTTATTTTAGATGCAAATTAAATCTGGGGTACATCGTTAATTTAATTGGATTCTATTTAATTAGATGCTAATTAAATCTGTGGCACATCTTTCTCTGTGTATTGTAGCCCTTTTCAAATGTCAGGCCTCTTGTTCAAAAACCCCATATTCCCATCTAGCATTCATCAATGTGATAAGCGCAGCCCATTTCAAAACCCACTACCTCCATATTCTCCCCAAATGGTCTTTCTGTTTCCTCGGCCCCTGGTTCCGTTCTATGGAACCAGCATGTAATGCTAGCCTTGTCTACTCATAAGCAAGCCCTGTAAAGGTAAGTGTGTCTAGTACTAGAGCCTAATACTTGTAAAATCCAAATATTGAGGCTATATAAAGACATACCAATCTAGGGGTAGTCACCTGGAGAACTGCTGCAGTTTCATATATTCTATCAAAATTCCCTCAGAATTTTGGCTAATATTTAACCTGAGGTGATCCGTTGGATTTTGCTTCAGGCAAAATTTGTGCTGTAACTTTAATCAGAAACCTTAATCTCTTACTAATTTAATACCAGTAATTTATCCCTTCACACACTATTTGTGTTAGGAGCAGTGCTTTCAAACTATGTTAGTATCTCTATGGTGAGATGCACCAGTAGTAGTTCCAGGTTAGCTAGCTCTGAATTAGACAGGGATTTTGAAAATGTGGCCTCATTTCATTTCTAACCCTCTTGGCTGAGTCCAGAGAGTGGAGCCTTGTATCGCCCTTGCACCTTCTATTTGAATTGGGCTTGGGGTGGGTGGGAAAGAGACATGAGTCTCTCACTCGGGCATTTGCGTGCCGTTCACATTCAGCCACAGCTAAAGGGCAAGCAGGGCAATGCTTGAATGCGGCGGCAATTGAAGGTAGCTTCCTCACATCGCCTCACACATTTTCTGAGGCTAATGAGGGAGTTCGGAGACAGCCTGTTTCTGGGTAGTCTGACAGGCAGATTGCCTAGAAAGCTCATTTAATTTATTTATTTAAATGTCTAATCTGCCTTCCCACTGACAATGCCTATGTTGTTTTGTAATCATGCACATGTTAAAACCAACCACATTATATATATATTTATATATATATATATATATATATATGCTTTCGTAGATTTTCACGGGTACAGGAATGCAGGTTTTGGTGTCCTCGGGTGTCTTCCCGTGTAAAAGTTGGGGTGTCTAGGCGACGTTTCGACGAGGTCTCACTCGTCATCTTCAGGCTGGTGCTTTCGGCTTCTTGTTACTGGAACAGAGCAGGATCTCAGTGTTTGAGTTCCTATAAATACTGTTGAGGGGGTGTGGTGTATAGCCTCCAATGTTCTGGGCAGAGAGGAAGTTCCCAGGCTAGTGTGCCTTTTCTTCTTTTGTTCCTTAATTACTTGGGGGATATCTTGAGTGATTTCTTGAGTGATATTCTGAGTACCACTTAGGTGGGTCATTAGGTGTGGATTAGTTGCTAAAGCCTTCGTGTCTTGACCTCTTGAACTTTGTGAAGAGTTTTTCTGAGAAGATGGTTGTACTGCACTTAGTTTTGCTCTGGCTTGGCTTCGTGTATAGGGGCGAGCTGTGGTTTTGTGCCCTGTGCCAGCCAGATCTGTGTAGGGATTGCAGGGGGGTGCAGCATCCGGAGGTGCCACCATGGTTTGGCTACTGGATGGTGTCTGTAATTTATCTGTGGAGAGGGTCTGGGTTTGGGTCTGGTGTGGTTGATTGGTGATGGCGTTCTGTGTGCCTCTGGATCTGGTGTCGGTTTTTGTGGGTAGGGCTAATTTCCAGATGTCTGGCAGGCGGGACGTGTCGTCACGCTTGTTCATGTTGTGAGGGTGTTTCTCTATCTCGATGGCTTCCATGATTATTCTCTTGTGGTGATGTTCCATGTTAAAGAGCAATTTGGAATCTGCAAAATTAATTTCGTGTCCTGTTTCTTTCATGTGTTGGAAAAGAGAGGAAGTTTTTTCTTCTTTTTTGACGGCATTCTTGTGTTCTGCGATACGTGCATTTATTCGTCTGTTTGTTTGTCCAATGTACGTGGCTGGGCAGACTTTGCAGGGTATTTCATAGACCCCTTGGTTTTCCAACTGGATTTTATCTTTGGGGTTTCTGAGGATATTGGCTATTTTTTGGTTGGTGCAAAAGGCTGTTTTGATATTGTGTTTATGGAGGATTTTGCTAATTTTATCTGTAGTGCCCTTGATATAAGGAAGGAGGGCCATGCCATTGTTTTCTTTCTGTGTCTTGGTTTTTGGGGGGTGTTTCTTTTTGGATTAGCTTCGTAACCCTGTTTTGCTGGTATCCATTGGCGATTAACACATTTGAGAGATTCTGTAACTCAGTTGTCAAGTGGTCTTTGTCAGCCAGGCGTTTGGTTCTGGAGATGAGAGTCTTGGCTACGGAGTTTATTTGTGCAGGGTGGTGGTGTGATTGTGCATGTAAGTAGCGGTTGGTGTGTGTTTTTTTCCGGTAGATAGTGTGTCCTAGGGAGCCATCAGGTTTTTTGTAGATTAGGACGTCAAGGAAGGGAAGTTGGTTGTTGGTTTCTATTTCCATAGTGAATTGTATTTTGGGGTGTAGGCTGTTGAGATGTGTGAGGAAGCTATCTAGTTTTTCCTTCCCGTGTGGCCAAATTACAAAGGTGTCGTCAACATATCTGAGCCAAAGTTTGGGTTTGTGTTCTGACTTGTCTAAAGCATTGGTTTCAAAGTGTTCCATGTACAGATTTGCGATGACCGGTGAGAGGGGTGATCCCATAGGTGCTCCTTCTATCTGTTTGTATCTTTGTCCATTGTGGATGAAGTACGTGTTGGTTAGGCAGTGGTTGGTCAGGTCCAGGATGTATTCGGGGGGATTGTATTTGTTTTGAATGGCTGTCAAGGCTTCATTAATGGGCACTTGTGTGAAGAGAGATACAACATCGAAGCTCACAAGTAGGTCATCAGGATGTAGGTTTTGCTTCTTTATTGTTTCTATGAACTGGAAGGAGTTTGTAACGTGTGAAGAGATGGATTCTGCATAGGGCTGAAGTTGCTTAGCGAGAAATTTAGCGAGATTTTGTAGAGGTGAGCCTATGGAGCTGACTATTGGTCTGAGTGGTGTTCCTTCTTTGTGTATCTTGGGGAGGCCGTAGAGTTTGGGGCATCTGGATGATTTTTCTCTGGGGATGATTCTTAGCTGGATTTCTTCACTGATAGGAGAGGCTTTTATTTTGGATTTGGTGGTTTTTTCCAGATAGGTGGTGGGATCTGTTTTTATAGGTTGGTAGGTAGGGTCTTGGAGTAGATTTGATAGTTTTGCTTGGTAGTCCGATGTGTTCATCACAACAGTGGCATTACCTTTGTCTGCTGGGAGAATGATTATGTTGTTGTCTTTCCTCAGGTTGGTGAGTGCTTTCTGTTCTTCTTTGTGTAAATTGCTTCTGGGTGGTTTGCTGGAGCAGAGGATGTTGGTGACTTCAAGTCTGATTTTATTGGCTTCATCTGGGTTGATTTTGGTTAGGCTAGCTTCGACTCCGCATATGATGTTTTCCGTGGGGATGCGTCTCGGGGCGACTGCAAAGTTGAAACCTTTGGAGAGTACTTTGGTTTCAGTTGAGGTGAGGATCCTGTCTGATATGTTATGTACTGTTTGTTTCATGGGTTGTTGTGGAGGGTGGGGGTTAGGGTTAGGGTTAGAGTTTAGGGTTAGGGTTAGGGTTAGGGTTAGGGTTAGGGTTTAGGACACCAAAACCTGCATATATATATTATATATATATATGATTATATAAACAAAAGAATAACCGCAATGCGCTGTGGGTTAAAGCCTCAGCACCTAGGACTTGCCGATCGAAAGGTCGGCGGTTCGAATCCCTGCGGCGGGGTGCGCTCCTGTCGTTCGGTCCCAGCGCCTGCCAACCTAGCAGTTCGAAAGCACCCCCGGGTGCAAGTAGATAAATAGGACCGCTTACTAGCGGGAAGGTAAACGGTGTTTCCGTGTGCGGCTCTGGCTCGCCAGAGCAGCGATGTCACGCTGGCCACGTGACCCGGAAGTGTCTCCGGACAGCACTGGCTCCCGGCCTATAGAGTGAGATGAGCGCACAACCCCTAGAGTCTGGCAAGACCTGGCCCGTACGGGCAGGGTACCTTTACCTTACCTTATTGAGTTTTAAAAATAGTTAAGTCTATGTCTGCTCTGAGTAAAACTTAGATAGAACCAAATATATTTCAATACTTGAAAGAATTGCATATACATTACTAATTTTTTGTGACCTCCCTATATGCCCTCCAAAAAGTGCATTTCATTAATAATAATCAAATGTTTGCTTCAGAAGACCCTTCTCTTATGTGACCTTGAAAACAGTCTTGGCAATATTTATTGTTTTTATTTTTATTTTAACTGTCCTGCCTTTCAAAACACAATAAGAAATATACTCAAAATGCAGAATATTAAAATCCATTTAGAAACAGTAACAACAAAGATTAATTAATATTTGCATACTATATTGAGAAAGGGAGAAATTGATGGATTTTAGGGATCACTGTTTCTGTTTATTTATATATACAGGCAACCCCCAATTTGTGCAGGGGTTGTGTTCTGGATCATCTTCATTATTGCTTTGCATAGCTTTATATTAAACCTTTTTATAATTTTATTAATCACATTTCTTCCTTTAAGAAAAAAATGAAAGGATTGACTGAAGATCACCTGTACCTGGACTACATTAATCAGAATGCAGATTGTGTATTTCCTCTCCACACCTCCATATCCTTGTTTTTGTTGTCATACTGTGACTGCAAGACATTCAGAGTATTTTAGTACTGCCAGGTGATACAGCTTCAGATGCCCAGCCTAAAGACACAGTATTTCCCAAGGATCTGGATATTTGCTTCATCAAAAGATGTCAACTTCCTTTGGTGGTCCAGAGCTGCTGTTTACCTGCTGTTGTCGAGAAGAATGGAAGATTTTGTCGAAGCAGGACTTGCTGTGGGTATGAGGCACATAGTACAAAAACATATGAAGCAGATCCGTCAAAGGAGGACATTTTGGAAACTCTTGGGATTTAAAAAGACCTGCTTGAAGGCTTGTGCTGAAGTGAGTTATTTCTATTTTTTCGTAAATCTATCTCATAATAAATTTCACATATATTAAACCTTGTTCAGTGCATGACCCTAATGCAGAAGTGACCAGTTAGGCTATGCACTAAACAAAGTTAATATATGTCTGCAGTACAACTCCCATCACCCTGACCATTGGTCATGCTGGATGGAGCTAATGAGTGTTTGAGTCCCACAGCACCTCGACAGCCACAGGTTCACCACCTTATTATGAAAGGCCTGGAAAACAGTCAACTGATTAATCCTATTTATTTGCAGGTTAGTGGATGGACCAGACTTTGGTGAAATCAGCATTCCCTCAGGCAGTTGAAAACTTTCTGAGCGTGTCTTCGGATCAGGTTCAGAGTATTCTCGGAGGAAGTATTACGGTTTTGAAAGAAGCTGGGAGAGCCTGTAAGAGTACATAACGATGACAAATTCGAAGACAGAAAGTTCATCAGCAAAAGACATTCGTCAGGAAGCATGTAAAGATGTTTCTTCACAAGAGGAAGATTAGCAGAAAATCTGGAGTCCTCTCCTGCAGAACTGGAGCTGAGTTTAGCTTTATCTAAATTAACTGTGCAAAAAACACCAGTTGCTGTCAAAAGGGAGCCCTCTCATATTAGGAAGATGAAAACATCTGGAATTGCCACTCTTGGAACACGTTTTTGCTGAAGGGCTATACTTCACTTTGGCTGATGTAGTCCTCTTTCCATGCATCCATCATTTTTTTGTAAGGATTTACACATTTATGTATGTTGCTTCCCAGTAAACTGTCAACATTATATAGTAGATGTTGGGAAGAGACGAATCGCTTGGAGCTTATGTATTCTCAGCATATTTTCCCAGAAGTATGTCTCACTGAGTTCTATGCAACTTACTCCCTAGTAAGTGTGCTTAGGACTGCCAGCCCCTGCAGACTGGTAGAACCACCAATGCTGGCTCCACTAAAAGCTCTATTCCTGTAGTGGCTCTGATTTATTTATTTTTAAGCTTTAAATCCATTAATCTATTATGTCACTCTTTGTAGTCATAGTGGTTAAGTTAGGCATGAGAATCTCTCTTTGTGAATACACCCCACCACTACCACTCATCAGTTTGAATCTTGAGTGAGGCAGAAAGCCAATATATTCCTGCGGTTAAGCCCACAAGTTAGTGAATGTCTTAAGACAACAGAGACACGCTGATTCATGCTTGTACATCAGGTAGGTTCATAATTTTTCTCTGATAACCAGAGCTTTGTTTTCTTCCTTGCAGGGTTTCAGCAAGAAACACCAAGAGAACTTGTTAAGATTGCCATTGATATCTAGTTGGTTCCAGAGAGTTCAGGAAGTACCTGGAATAAAGAGAGCTGCTGCCAAATGCAATATGCAATTTTTACCCCATCAAGGCTCAGTCTCTTTATCAGATGAACACATGCAGTTTATCTGCACAGCTTCTGATGAGCCACAGGAAGAGCATGAAGACACTTCATTTATAGGTGGACCAAGGCCAACCATGACAAAATTAATGGTAACTTAATAGTTTCACACACAACACACTCACGCACTGGCACTGAGTAATAGAATGGATTGTGCAGATATTTTGAAAGAAAGCACAAAAAGTCAGCATTTAAATTGTGTTAAATATTTAACACAAAATAGGCACTTTTCAATGCATTCATCCATAATAGATACTTTTTATCTGGCTTCTTGCAATATCAAGCATATTTCTCTATCAAAGGTCTCTGTCACTAAAAATAGGTTGTATTTTGTTTGATGGTATAATCCTACCAGGGAGGGGGAGGACCCTATAATGCTGATACAGCTCATTTGAAGTAGACAAAACTCCCAAGTAACCCTTATAACAGCTCTGCAAAGATGATCAGCATTATAACCATACTGCAGATGGAGACTGAGGTTGAAAGAACAGGTGCCTACCCAAATATTGAATTCATGGCTCAGCTGAGATTTGAACTAGAGATTTCCTGGTTCATGTGTGCCAGCTTTCCCCAACCTTCAAATGTTTCAGACTGCAACTCCCCTTAGTCCCAGTGAGCATGTTTTGATAGACAAACAGAGTGGCTCTGTATTTTACATGTGCTGCTTAACAAACATAATTTCCAATAACACTTGGACATCATTACAGTACTTGCAAAGTTCACATTCCTATTTCGCTGATTTAAGATTTTCCCCCTCCTCTTAAATGCAGAAAAGTGGTATTGAAGCAACATTTTCCCCTCATCCTTGCCCTAGTTGGGCACTAGATTGGGACAGTCTGCCAGCAGCTGTTAATCCAGGAGAAGGTAAGTTTGTTTTATTTGCCTTATGCTATTCCTGTTGAAATTCATTTGTTTGCCAAAGGATGTTTTGACAAAACTTTGGCAGGTCCTAATAAAGTATATGTCCAACTGTGGATTTTGGAGGGGGTGTTTTTCTTCTTCTAATGGAGCAACTTTTAATTATTATTTCAAATGCTACGTTCTGTATTGATACAGTTCAGTACCGTATTTCAGGTGTCGTCGTCCCCTGCCTCTACCAAGTTAGGGATCATCTCCAAATGTATGCGTCTGAAAGGGTGTGTGGAAGTTCATGTATTTAAGCCAAGCACAGACAGATTTACAATACGTGTGTGAGAGAGACAAATTCCAGAGAGTTCATCCTGTTAGGCTGCAGTAGATTGTAATGGATTGCTTTGAAATCACTTCAGCACTAGATAAAAAAAATAGGGGAGCCCCAACCACACTGCCCTTTCCTGTCCTGTCTTTTGCCAGAACAAAGGTGGCAACCCTAGCTCCGGCATTTACTTGTGCATCAATACTAAAATATTCAAGGTTAAGAAGAGATTAAGATTTAAGTCCTAGGCATAGTTACCTGGAATCATTAAAGACAGAGGGGTGTAATTATGAATAGACAAAATATTGGGCTGTAAAACAGCGATGAAGCATCCACAACCCTCCAGATATTGCTGGACTTCAACTCCCATCACCTCTAGAGAGCATGGCAAAGAGTCAGAGAAGATGGAAGTTGGAGTCCATAACATTAGGAGAGCTACAGATTCTCCATCCCTTCCATAAAGGTGCATTAGATCAATTTCTCCCTTAAATTCTATGATTGTTCTACACATCAGCTTATTATACAAACTAACATTATTAAAAATCTGTACACTTCTGAAACTTAATCCTGTGTTTATCCATATCTTTTCGTCTCTGTTCACTTAGATTATTGAATATCTAGTTTCAAACGTAAGGTGAATAGACAGCCCAGATGTATTGCCATTCCTTTAAGATCTCACAAACACATAATGCAAGCAGTTTCTTCAGCTCCTCAGATCAATTTTTAACAGGAATGCTTTTGTTGGTGATATTCCTTTAACATCACTGCTGCCTGTTTTCATTTTGCTCCATGTGTCCCAGCTGTAAATGCAACTTTCTTCACAGGCATGATATGTCCTTTGCACAGGCAGATGCCATCTATTTAAACTTCCCCAGAACTGCTACCTCTGGTGGCTTTTGGTTGACACTCATGCAAAACAGCTGCAATTTGGTTTTATTTTTAAAGGGCTTAATCACTACATAAATTGCATGTCGGTGCAGAATAGCGTCTGAATGCAGGAATAGATCTTAAGGCATTTGCCTTTTGATAACCCTATTATCTAGTCTCAGCAGAAGTTCCTTAAGCTTTCCAAAACAGGAAGGGGCTGTCAGTTAAAAGTATTCTTGTGTGGGCTTAAGAGTTTGATGTATGAGGCCACCAAATGTGTGGTGCTGAGATGTGTATGGTAAAGGAACACCAAGCCTTATGTATTAGGCTAGTTCACTTGTGGAAATGATTGAATAAAAGAAAATAACTGAAGACATTGCACAACTGTGATGCAGTTCCCTGATCTTTCAGATTTGACCTTGATCTCAACCATAAAATAATTACCTGCATAATCCACAACACAGATGTGTTTGCTTAATATATGTTAGAGAAGACTCCATTGTTCTGAAAACCAACAATGCATTGGGGCTGGATTGAAATGTAAGTCTTTTGAGGCCTGAAGTGGGAAGATTTCACCTTTTCCAGTTCCTGGACTCCCCATGCACACATGTCATCACTCATTCCAAAGATCTGTTTAAAATAAGCATGGGAGTGGAGGTGGGGAAGAGAATCTAGGCAAATCTACCAGTTGCATCCTCACTGGAAGAATAAAATAATTCACAGGAGTTCTCAAAACATGTCACAATAAATAACAGTAAGTAATATAGCTGAATTTTCTTTCAGTGCTGTATTTAGCACAGAAAGCTTGAAAGCAAAAGCTCTTGTGAAAACAGATACATTATTAAAATTTATTGCCAGTTTAAAGTGATAGGATCACTGCTGTAAACGTTGCTTTTCTTTCAATAACAAACACAACAGCCCCCCTTAAGTAGGATTCAAATAGCTATTTACCCTGTAAAATAAGGTTTTAAAAACTGTACTTGAAAGTCCTTTATTTTCTTTCTGAGCCTGTCAGAACTTTTTGAATGGCTTTGAGAAGTACCTCATCTTTTTTTTCCTCTTAAGCTTCCTTTGCTGCTGCTTGTTTCTCACAACAGACGGTTCTTTGCCTGATAATCTGCAATGATAGCAATGTAATGCAAGTGAAGCTTGAGTGAATCAACAAATATTTCTAATTAATCTCTTCTGCTGTGTCTTACATTTAAAATGTTTCATACATTTTTGAAAATTTCATTGCATAATGTACCAGAGT